CTGCATGGGTCTTGTCAGTGATGTTTCCAAATATAAATGTCTGAACATATGACTTTCTGTGATTCTATTTTATATTCTGAGACAAGACACCCACAGTGTTTGTTTAAACTAAGGTTTCTGAGAATTGTTTCTGACCCCTGATGTGTCACCTTTGTCTAGACCAAGGGGACATCATCTTTCGGTAAACGCCGAAACAAGACCCACACCTTGTGCCGTCGCTGTGGGGCCAAGGCTTATCACCTGCAGAAGTCTTCCTGCGGCAAGTGTGGCTACCCCGAAAAGCGCAAGAGAAAGTGTAAGTTCCCCCGAATGGATATGAGCGTAACTGTTCACACAAATACACAAGCTACATTTACATTTTGGAGCTCCGTATCAAATTATGTTGTATTTAACTTTGGCGCTTTCATTGACCAGTTAATTTATTTAGGACTTGAATATAAGCTGTTACACAATGATGGTCTGTTTGATATTTGGTTTCTTCCTGTTTGATATGTAGACAACTGGAGCGCTAAGGCCAAGAGGAGGAACACCACTGGGACTGGTCGTCTGAGACACCTGAAGGTTGTTTACCGCAGATTCAGGTAATACAATCTAACCAAAATAACTCTGCAGCTCTGGGTGTTTCTAATTGTCACAATATTTTAATATGTCCTGTTAATATTGCAGTAGAATAGTTTGGTTGAGCTTCAGTTTTATGTGTTTTGTAAACTGAATGTGCTCAAATTGGTTTTCTCATCTGACATCACTGCGTCCCACATAACCTTCAATGCGTTTGTCATTTCGAAGTCACTTTTATGGCTTTAACAGGAAGTAAATTTCTTTTTGCCTTTCTGTTGACTAGCACAATAAGTGAGGTATTAATTTCAAACGTTATACGATCTTGTTATTATCACAAATCATCATAGTCAGGCTGAATCTGATTTTGTAAATGAACAAGGTTTATCAGCTTTAACTATAAACATCGGTGTTGACGTCTTCCCAACATGGAATGTAAGCAATGTTCCTGCCTGCCTCTTGAATTTACTGCAAGCATGTACGCACTCCAACACCTGTTGGTTTTATTTGTTATAGCGTGAAATATTTAGTTGGGTGGGGAAAGGTCAGATTTGCACCCAGGAGGTTGTGTGATTAGAATGGGTCAAGATGTTTGCACCAACTGAGGATCGACAGTTTCATTCATGTTAAATATCTGTGGGGATAAAACCCCACAGACTAGGCTCAAGGAGTCCCAGCACACAAATCTGATTTTCTTCATAAAACATTTTAATTTTTTACTGAAGTAATAAGTCAGGTATTTAGAAAACTAAATAAATTTAACAATATTTGCATACACTCCACCCCCATACTCTTAGTAGTTTTGTTGTTGCGTTGTAGTCTGCTTATATTACAGTGGGATACATATTTATTTTTCCAGAATAGAGTTGATGCTTAAATATAAATTTATTGATTTTGCTAAATACAATTTAAAAAAAAAATCCATTAAACCTGAAACTGTTGTAAAAATAAAAGTTTTAAACCTATTACCTAGGTTTAGTAATATTTGAATTGGTAGCTCGTATTCATTTGATGGGGTGTTTCCTTTAAATAAGTCCCCTCACTGACAGCATCCGGTTCTACTAATTGAATGTATCCATTTAGAAGCTATAACATTAGCATTTTATTTTAAACAAGTGTTAAAAGTCAGTGAAATATCTTCCTCACATTTAATATTTTTCATTCAACCTTTATTTAAACAGGTAAATCCCATAATAATGATAATCAGTGAATAATCCCATAGTATACTGCTGCATGGGTCTTGTCAGTGATGTTTCCAAATATAAATGTCTGAACATATGACTTTCTGTGATTCTATTTTATATTCTGAGACAAGACACCCACAGTGTTTGTTTAAACTAAGGTTTCTGAGAATTGTTTCTGACCCCTGATGTGTCACCTTTGTCTAGACCAAGGGGACATCATCTTTCGGTAAACGCCGAAACAAGACCCACACCTTGTGCCGTCGCTGTGGGGCCAAGGCTTATCA